GCGCGCATAGCTGGAACTTACTTGTCCGGATCACTTATCCACGAAGATCAAGGTAAGGCCTTCTGATATAATAAATTTAAGCACACGCTTTATATATGCATTTTGGACCCAAAGAAACTAGATAAAGTAGTGCACAAGAAAGAAATAGACAAACTTTTATTCGAAACTATTATCCCACTTCATATAATCTATATTTCCCACGAGTGAGACAATATTAGCACCTTCAAATGACGCAGTTACAAAGGTCAATGTGTAAAAACCATGGCTACTGGAAATAAGAGCAAAAAAGGCTATCGAATCGCCAGTGCAACCCGTCAGGGAGTAGAGCCCAGCCGAAGTGGTACTAATGGCACAAGCTTGTTTTCAGGGCCTCAGGCAAGGCCTCGATTGGACGAGCCAATTGTTTGTGTGCGTCGTGAGAATGCTTACATACCAACATGCCCATTTTGACTGGCTGGCTGTAGGTAATCCGAAAAGTTGTAGCTCATGCCACAAGCTTAATCAACCTGGCTCGTTTAAGGCGATTTAAGGAGTGACACGAAGATATGAAAGCCAAGATGGCGTGACCTTTGATATGCTTGCAATCTCCTTTCGATGTATAGAAATGGGTTGACCTCGCTTTCGCAACTTGGTCGTATCGTCAGGGCGACACCCTGACCGAAGCCCTCTGCTATAATAGTTATCACAATTCCCAGCGTCGAAACGTAAACTTTGTACATTTTCGGATGTCTAGCCGGCATCGTCAGTGAGTCTTGCCATTCTCAGCACCAAGTTACAACTAGTCAAAGAGGCAAGTGACTTGTCTCTTCGGTCAAGGTGCATCCAACTAAGTCGCCCTGACAACACGATCAAGTTGCAAAAGCGAGGCCAACCCACTTTTAACGAGTGATAGTTGCGATTTTCCCACAATGAGATGAACGAGCCTCAAGATTGCATTGAATATCACTTGAGCCTGTCTCCCAAAAAGCAACCTAATCCAGGATTGACCGCATTTTCGACCTCGCCTTCAGCGAGATTCGTTGTCATCTCGTAAATATCGTGTCGATGTTACCACTCCACTCCACTACATTGTCACAGATGCCACTGGGTCATCCAACTCACCTTTTATGTTAGGCTCTTCGATTAAGCAAAGATGTTTTGTTTGCCCTTGAAATTAAATATGTTACTTATTTCTTATAAGTAGTTTTCGATAAGATGGCAAGCGATATGTGGTTTAGGCTAGATTCCATTTGAGCTCACTTTCACTTTCTAAGGGAGGATGTTTTGAAGAGACTTGCATGCCGATCTCATCATAAAACAGCTGTCGAATTTATCTTGGTCTGCTCTTTAATCTCCTGGGACTTTCATATTCACATTCTAGAGACAGCCTTCTTCGATTTGATACTAACTGTCTATACTTTCATTTGTATATGAGATGTGTTTACTCTATTTCGCTTGAGGTGATGAAGGACTGGTATTTGAATTTTTCACAATCTTGTGTATAGGCCGTATGTTTCCATCGAATTTCATATAGCCTTCCTTTGCCAAAAGGTATTATCATCCGAGATGGGCTGCAATTTTGACCTAGTCTAGGCCTTATAGACGCCCCCAGCGGGACTCGAACCATGACAGTGCAGCGTATGCTCTCGACATAGTAACGACTACGCCACACTTCCACGAGTACCCTTGGGCCAAAGGGTTGATGTGAATTTCAAGGAAGGCCAGGCAATTTTCTATATTATATTATGTGGTGGGACTGTGGATGAAGCAAAATGAAATTGTTATAAAAATCGAAGACTACTTATATTTCGTTTCGAGTAGATTTTCGAAAGTGTCGGGATTAGACGATGCGCCGTCTTGGTTCGAGTCCTGCAGGTGATGTTGCTAAGGCATAGGCGAGGTCGAAAGAGCAGTCAACCCTGGATAAGAATGCATTTATGCAAAGTGAGGCTATGTGAAATTCGATGGAAATACCATGTCTACTCGCATTATTGTGGGAAAATTCAGCTACTTGTCCTTCATCAGCTCAAACGAAACAGGGTGAACACATCTCATATATGATTGATTGGTATTCCCCAAAGCATAGCCGGGAGGCCTCCTTATTACCACGTACACCTTGCTCCAGGGCTGAAGAGAGTTGGGTTTTTTGTTCACCCAAACCAAAGGAGGGCATCTAGAGGACTGCGTCTCTCTGGTCGTCCCAATAGGACCAAGTGACAACAGCACACTGTAAGCAGAAGCTAAAAGCAAACTCAACTCTAACTTATCAAGAAGTTCATCGAAACTTGGCCTCTCCTCTCATCGCCTAGGCTGGTCATCCAGACGAAAAGGTGAAATGTGAGCACTCGGCCGCCAGTAGCCACTGTCAGAGGCTTCTTTGGTGGGCATGATGGATCGATCCAAAATTTGAAAGGATAGGCCACATCGATATCGCGCGATTTGAGCCGCCCAAAAGCTGCAAGGATGGGCGAAATTAATGTAATGCGGGAAGAGAGGATCGATCGGCATGCTGATATAGATGTGGTACGGCGGTGGACAAAAAACTGCATCGGATGAAATTGCTACAAAGCAAATAAAAAGTGTTCCTTACTACAGTTCACTAAAGCTTATTACTAACTCCAAAAGTCCTCAGAATTCGCCCGATGAACTACATATTGAGACGGATGTTGTGGCCTTGAGTTTGGCCTCACTTCGCTTTCTATTTATAGCCTTGATTTAACTAATTTTTCGACTTTCTCAGGCACCGTTGGAAATTTCTACAAGCCTAGCCTCGGATGCTTCCTTTGCTATTATAGACATCGCTTCTTCAAACAGCTGACCATCTGCCAATTAAGCTCCCAGATGTTCTGCTGACATTAGCGTCAGCATCATCAATAAGATATACGGCATGGCCGACAGAAAACGTCTTTGGTGAGGTATGATTTAAAGCTATCGATGGCATAGACTAAGAGGACAAGTGAATTGGCAAAAGCGAGTGTGGAAGAAATAGCTGACGGGTTTTGTGAAAAAAGAAGCTTAATGGGCTGAAGAGGGGAGTTAGCTTTTATCAAGTCGCCTGTCGGTGAAAGGGATCCTGGCAACCAAAATGTGTACCTGCTTTTAGCTCTCTGAAGATGACATAAAGCAAGCGGACTCAGGTCTAGTGGACAAGAATGAAGGATTTATTCGATTTATTCACCCTATTCCGTTTGAGGTGATAATGATTTGAATAGGTCTGACATCTACATTGAATTTCACATAGCTTTGCTTTTCCAAAAGATATTCTCATCTGAGGTGAACTGTAATTTCTACCTTGCTTAGGTCTTATCAACACCTCTTTAGCGGAACTCGAACAATGACGTTGCAGGGAATAATCTCGCCTGGCCTTCCTTGAGCTGACATCTTTCCTGTAACCCATAGGCACTTGTGGCAATGTGGCGCAGTTTCATGGTTCTTGTCCCGCTGGGGGCGTTGATAGGTCATAGGCGAGCTCGAAACTGCAGTCCATCCCGGATGGGAATAACTTTTTGCGAAGCAATGCAATGCGAAATCGAATGGAACCATCGGTTCAACTCATATCAATGTGCGAAAATTAAATAGCTAGTCCCTTATCACCCTAGACGAAATGGGATGATTATGTTTCATAGATATATGGTCTATTGGTAGGCTC